ATTTTTTTTTTTTTTTTATTTATTATTATTTTTAATAAACTGTTGTTTGTTATTTTTTACTTATTATTTCCCCCCCTTTTTCATATGTCTATTATTTTTCTTTGTTTTGTTCTTCGTTATGAACTTATGATACTTATTGTTTTTCTTAACTTTCTTCGTGTTTTCTTGTATTTATTTATATATATATATATATATATAACTAATTTTGATACCCAGGATTAGTGACTTAACTAATCTAAGTCTTAAATGTGTGTACGTTTGGGGCATATGTCCGCTGTTGGTTCTCAATATCTCATTTTCTAGGGTTATAAGGATCATGTGTTGGTGATTGCATTTTCGAGTTGACACCCACACAAACAATGACATCCATGACTAATGAATACAAATTTTAACATCACGATGAATTGTCAAAAATGCATCACGTTATTTTCCTGGTTAATTTATTTTCTACATTGGTATCAATTTTTATGTTTCCCAAATAAAATGTAACAGCGTTCACAATAATATCGTATTCAACAACTATCGCTTTGTATAATATTCACGATATTGTCATATTTGGTGCACCTATGTGTATTATCGGTAGCCGGTTACTTGCTTTAATCAGGCCCTGGCGTTGTCTTATCTGTTCTCGAGCTTGGCTTCATAGAACCAATAACTGATAAATATAGACTGTTCTTATAAAATTTATAATATTTTTATTTAAAGGAAAATAATATAAAGTTTGAGAATTTAAAATTCATGATAAAAAAATGTGAACAATAAGTTATTATTATTACTAATATTTTGTATTAAAATGTTCTAATATTAGTATTTCATAAATTTAATAGCCTTGAAACTGAAATGACGTTTGGACGATTAAGAATAAGCATATTTATATTTAACATTTCCACTGAACGATGAAATACAATATTTCTTCTATTTTCGATAACTTACGTCAGTCTGGGTATTTGTTTCTCGCGTACTTCACTTCTGCACACTAGAAGAATATTTAATTATTTCCAGTGGTCTCTTCACCAGTGGTCTTTAAATATTTTGAAATTCACTAATAATTGTTTAATCATATTCTTCCATTTTTTCCATGACAACTTGAAATTTAAACTAAGTTTTAATTTAAATTTATTTGAATGAATTTTTTACATTTTAAATTTTTCCAGCAATGAAATTTCACATTTTCGATATCGTTTCCGAATCATATAACTCCGAAAGAGGTGATTGCTTGCAAACCATCCCTTGAAAATTTGAAAACTGTTACAGAAACATGATCCAATATTAGTACTTCCGTTCTCGAGTTACTAGCGAACAAACATACAGACAAAGACAGATTTTCGCTTTTATTTTATATAATTGAGATGTTCGAAGCAAGAAGATTTTTGATGACGATTTTTGTAACTCAACTCATTAACCATGATTCGAATAGCTTACTCTTTGGGAAAAATTAAGTAATTAATTAAAAAGATTCATTATATTCACAAACAGGGGTGATCAAAATCAAATTTTGAAGGAGTGGTAATGAAAAGTAAATTTCTTTCTTTAAAAATTTCAATCTAAACTGCTGTTTGTAGAAAATGCAACACCATGAAAGAATCATCAGAATCAAATGAAATTTAATGCAGAAACGACTTGTACTGATACAAATAAATGATGAAATTTTCAAAACAAAAGAAACAAATTAAGCGTCCGAAATCAGTATTTGGTGCAGCCACCACGCGCTGCAATAAGTGCTGCTATACGACGTGGCATGGAGTCAAACAGATGTTGAATATCTGCTTGAGGAAGAGAATTCCATATCGCTTGTATGCGCAACCAAAGTTCGTCTTTGGAAACTGCAGGACGCGGATCACGAGTGAGACGCCGACCAACCATATCCCACACGTGCTCAATAGGCGACATATCCGGCGAATAAGCAGGCCAAGGAAGAAGTTGCATGCGTTGTGCTGAACAGAAGTCTCTAACAGTCCGCGCAACATGTGGGCGTGCATTATCCTGCTGAAAGATAGCTCCAGGGATGCCTTGAAGGAAAGGAACGACTTCGGGCTGTAGCACTTCACGGACGTATCTGTTGCTATTGAGATTACCCTCAATTCGTATCAAATTGGATCGTCCATGATACGAAATCGCACCCCAGACCATAACTCCGGGTGTTCGACCACTATGTCGTTCAATAATACACTCAGGAAGGCAGCGTTGACCGGCATAACGTCTAACACGAACACGGCCATCATGGGTCCACAAATTGAAGCGTGATTCATCTGAAAAGACAACTTGGTGCCAATCAGCTCGCCAGTCTCTGTGCTCAAGAGCCCACTGCCGACGCAGCCGTCGATGATCCGCCGTGAGGGGAATCCTGTATAATGGCACCCTTGCACGCAATCCACGGCGCAGCAGACGACGACGAATTGACGAAGCCGACAATTGTACACCTGTAGCAGTAGACCAATGTGCTGCCAGCTGCCTGGAGGAAGCTGTGCGATCATTCACCGCCATGCGGAGCAGGTGTCGATCATCGCGCTCTGACGTCACCTTCTGTCGTCCAGTGCCTGTTTTTCGAGTTGTTCGGTGCTCGTCGGTCCACTGCTTCCAAACTCGCATCACTGTGGAACTGTTCCGCTGCATACGAGCTGCTATTGCGCGATAGGAAAATCCTCCTTCTCGAAGGCCGATTATCCTCCCTCGTTCAAACTCCGTAAGTTGCTTGAATTTCTTATTCTTCCGTCGTGGAGGCATACTCAGGTCTCACTAAACGTTTGCCACTAACAAATAATCATAGACTATTTTCAACGTCCCGCTACAGCACTTTATTTATACGCTTTCAGCATCAATTCAGAGGGCGCTGCGCGCGCCACGCACGCGCGATGGCTCTGAAACTTTATTAATTTGCATAATATCCTATATCCATTATTAAAATAATATTTCATTTGATTCTGATGATTCCTTCATGGTGTTGCATTTTCTACAAACAGCAGTTTATGTTATGTAGAAAACACTAATAGTTACGTATGCGGTCACAAAACCAATGAATTTTATTTTCGAGCTCATATAACATAACGAAGAGCTGAATTTGAGTGAGATAATAGTTGAACATGAATGTATTTTTCAAATTGAGTAAACTGAACTATTATTTCATCTTAATCACTCTCATTAGTTTACGAAAATTTAAAAAAAAAATTAATAAATATTTTAGTTTTAGTTTTTTTTTAATAATTTACTCAAGAGAAGAAATAAGGCATTTTAATGAAAAAGCAGAACAAAATCAACAGATATCTGTATACTACTCTATTTAAATATTGAAAGTTAAAAGTTTTTGAAAGTTTCTTTGTTCTTTGACCAAATCTGCAAGGCGAAATAACTATCGTAAACTACCGTACTTGTATAATAATGACATTTTTGGTTTAAAAAAAAATAAATAGTTCCGAAAATATATGGTTTTTAAACTATTATTTTGGTAATTTTCTCATTCGTATGATGACTGTTTACCAGAAATTCTGCTGTTTAAAATTGCAGTTCTTATTACCTCACATTTAGTAAAAATACAATACTGAAAAGTAAATTTAATCGAATAAATGGTTTTATTGTCCTACTCTCAGGTTTCAAGATAAAATTTCCAAATTTGGTCAAACTTTCTACCTAACAGCAGGGTAATAAAACAATACTTTTTTGTAATTTTACCATAAGTCATTAGAAAGAAGCTTCAGTAAGATTATCGTGATTTTGTTATTTCCATAGAGCCAAGAACAAATTAAATTTTACCATATTCTGAAATATTACCCTTACAGTTATATATTTTATTACAACTTGAAATATTACCCTTACAGTTATATATTTTACTGCAACTATGCTTTTTTTAAAGTTTTATTACCTTTCTTTTTGGTTGCTATACATTATTAAAGTCACTGATAGAATAAATTTTTTATTGTTGTGTCTCCAAGCTGTGAAGCTTTAAATGAGAAATTCTATGAACCATTTATTCCAACTTTAATTTCCAAGTCGCATAGAAATATATGTATATCAAATCATAATCTTAAGTTTAGAATTAAATAATTCAAATATAATGGTAGATTTCTATCTAATTTTATAATTTCCTTTTAACGAAAGTATCAGACATACAAATGCAGAGGGAAATAGATCTATATTCAAAGAGACAGCGAAGCAAGCTCGTATTGTGATACGTTCCAAAAGGAAGTGATCAAAAAGAGCTGATGTTGGAGAGCTGGTTCTCCCAATGAAGCGATATTATATTTAATTACAATTAATTAAATTTTTTACATTTGACCAGCCGGTTATTAAAATAATTTAAAAAATTTCCAAGCTTCAGTGAGGATTCAATATTTTAACAGTTTTGTTTTTAATGTAATAGTTTCGTTTTCTTGCAATAGTTTCGTTAAATAACGGCAGTTTTTTTTAACACATTTGC